AGTTGTTGGCCAAGATCTCACCATACACGGCCCCATCCATCCTCCCCTCAATGCGGTGCAGTCGGCCTGTCTCCTTTGCAGAAAAACATCCCCAAAGAATGATGTTTCCGCCTCCATGCTTCACGGTTGGGATGATGTTCTTGGGGTTGTACTCATCCTTCTTCCTCCATACAGGGCGAGTGGAGTTTAGACCAAATGGGCTGGCTTGAGCAGAGGGACCTTGCGTGTGCTGCAGGATTTTAATCCATGACGGCGTTGTGTGTTACTAATGGTTTCCTGTGGTCCCAGCTCTCTTCACCGTCTTGACCGTCATCTTGAACTTCCTCCATTTTTTAAGAACAGTTGTAGCCTTCTCACCAAGCTGCTTGCCTGTTGTCCTGAAGCCCGTCCCAGCCCTGTGCAGGTCTACAATTGTATCCCTGCTGTGCTTACACAGCTCTCTGTTCATGTTATTTTCTGGATTTGTTTTAGATTCGGTCAGTAGAGTACCTACGATACAAATTACAGACTTCTACCTATGTTTTGTAAGTGGGAAAATAAAATACTTGTTCTCCCCACTGCACATCCGGATGTTAGTATTACGTATGGATCAAGAAGAGAAAAAAAAAACATGGCTCCTTCATGAGTTAGTTGATAATAAAAGAAAAAAGAAAAAAAAAGAAAATGTCAAATCACATTTCTTAGTCTGGTGAAAAAAATACAGTTTAATTTGAATGTCCTACCAAAGGTATTTTGCTGGCAATGAGCAAAGCAGTAGCTCCAAGGCCCTGAGCAACAAGAGCTTTCTTGCTGAAATCACAGTCGCCCCTCATCACCACCAACGCTTTGCCCTTAACCACATCTGGAGTGACCCCCGAGGGATTACACAACACAGTGGATGTCATATTCACCACTGGATACTGCAACTGAGAAAGTGAAAAAAAAATGTAATTCACAGATTAGAATAGGTGAAGAGCTTCCTAGAATGCCGTCAGAAGCATAGAAGTTCTAGAAGCTCTTTGTTTGACAAACTTACAGCATCATCAAGGGTTTGTGACAGTGGGGTCCAGGATTGATTGTAGACAATACAGTACTCCTTGTTTGTATTTTCATTGGAAATGTGCAAGATTGCCTCCTGGCAGTTTATCTGTTGGGAAAGACATGTTGTTCATGCATTGTAAACATATTGAAGAGAATCAATGATGATTGATGAGTGATCATTGAGTGAAAATTAAAATACTTAATCACCGTCACCGTGTTGGTGACGTAGAAGAGGACGTTGTTAAAGGATACTGTTACCTACTATGCTTTTAATTTCAGTAAGCCACGTTGGATAGTAACGGCCAACCCGTCCCGTGGGTTGTATAATATTCTTTAAATGTTAAGGCAGATGTAACGTCTTCCCCAGATTGAAGCAAACTGACGTTAAATGGGGCTAACCGACCAATGCTAACGCTAGCTCATCTGCAGCAGACGTCGGTCTCTTGAGTCACCAGAACAACGCGATGCTTATGATTCACATACTAACACACCACAGTTGGCCGACTACGCTCCCAGAACACGATTCCGTCAACAGTAGCCTTAGCTGACGTGTTTTTCGACGGTCGTCCAACTTTAAGGCCGTAAATTGGCGACGAATGCCAAGGACAGTTTTATGTTCCCATCGTTCGTTAACTTACCTGCGATACAAAGAAAACGACCGACAAAATGATGAATCTGACTGCTCTTTCCATTTCGGTAACATTCGTTTCGGCGGAATCCACATGAATTAACTTCTGACGTTATACGACACGGTGACACTTTCTGTTTACTAAGTTAGCAGTATGTTCATCGCAAATGCTTAGCTTGCCGTCAGCTGCCAAGTAACGTTACTTCCTGTTTCGGCTCGTACGTGACGCGTGACCACGTGACGCGTTTGGATTCTGTTCCGCGTCAACAAGCACGCTGCGAAAATCAAGAAGTAAAAGCAAAACGGGGAACAGTGAAAACGAAAAGCGAGCCTTGTCTGTCTGGTCCTTTTGATATGCAACATGTTCACGTTTAAAATGAATTCTTATATCAATCATTCTTTCTATACCAAATGTCATTCTGTGATCGTGCAAATGTTCAGGCTCAGAATGTGTTATTAGCCAAGGCTGGATTTGTAAAGCGCCCTTTCAAAGCACTTAACACGTTTATCTGCTCATGGAATACTGTAAAATGCCGTTTTAAATCCCCTGGATATTTACAGCAATTCGTTATTATATATATATATATATATATATATATATATATATATATATATATATATATATATATGTATATATACACACTGTATCACATTCAGACTTTACATCTGTCATTATGTTTAACGTGGGTGAAGATGCAGCCATTCTATTATTCAGGAACCTTTTCATTCATGTGTTCATCTGCACTAATTAACTAATAGACAGTCAGCTCGCTCATCCAAGATGAAATCGAACATTACAAATTTACATACATATAAAAATACATAACCAGTACTCAACTAACTCCCTTGTGCATTAGAAGAGATCATTGTATTATGATGGGGTTTAATACGAAGTAGTGTTAATCATAATAATGGGTAGCAGTCTTAAAATTTTGTCTCATATAAAAAAGTCTAGAGAGCAATATTTAATCTGTGAGTAATTCATCTTTCACTGCTTGGCCCGAGAAGCTAAAACTACCATATGGTGATGGATTTTCAAGCGTACATGAAGACACCCCTGAAGCACCAGAGAACCGAGGCTTGAGATGAATACAGCAGCTGCCTTGTTTGACCTGCACGAGTAAAAGACTGTTGCAACTTTGGCTTTTATTTGCCACTTTTAAATCTACCGTTGAACCAAAGCTGTCGAGGCAGACTCTAACTGCTCCTTTATATGCGCGCACACACAACCATCGACATGCATGTGTGTGTGTCTAGAAATTGATCTACTAGAGAAAAAATGAATAAACATTGCAATAATCAACATTAACTATTAATTATAATCAACGCATCATTAATTATTTACCAAATGAGTGAAAACGTACAACAAAAATTACCTTACCCAGCACAATCATTTAGGAAATATGATTTTGGGCTTTGGGATTTCTCAGCAGGAAACCGATGGATTGCCTACTCCAGGTAGGGCATGTGTCCTTACCCCAAGTGAAGGAGTTCAAGTACCTCGGGGTCTTGTTCACGAGTGAGGGGAAGATGGAGTGTGACTTTGGCCGGAGAATCGGAGCAGCGGGGGCGGTATTGCACTCGCTTTACCGCACCGTTGTGACGAAAAGAGAGCTGAGCCGGAAGGCAAAGCTCTCGATCTACCGGTCAATCTTCGTTCCTACCCTCACCTATGGTCATGAAGGATGGGTCATGATCGAAAGAACTAGGTCACGGGTACAAGCGGCCGAAATGGGTTTCATCAGGAGAGTGGCTGGCGTCTCCCTTAGGGATAGGGTGAGAAGCTCAGCCATTCGCGAGGAGCTCGGAGTAGAGCCGCTGCTCCTTTGCGTCGAAAGGAGCCAGTTGAGGTGGTTTGGGCATCTGGTGAGGATGCCCCCTGGGCGCCTCCCTAGGGAGGTGTTTCAGGCACGGCCAGCTGGGAAGAGGCCCCGGGGAAGACCCAGGACTAGGTGGAGAGATTATATCTCTGCACTGGCCTGGGAACGCCTTGGGATCCCCCAGTCAGAGCTGGTAGATGTGGCCCGGGAAAGGGAAGTTTGGGGTCCCCTGCTGGAGCTGTTGCCCCCGCGACCCGACCCCGGATAAGCGGTTGAAAATGGATGGATGGATGGATGGATTTTGGGCTTTATTTCTGAGCGTTAACTTGATCAGAAGATTGATACTCTGCCTGTGAAATATGAAGCGACAGCCAGCAGATGCTTGGCTAAGCACAAATGACAGGAAACAGGTGAAACAGCTGCCCGGCTCAGTCCAGGTCAAGGTAACTGAATACTGTGACCGGCACCTTTTGAGCTCGCCACAGACACATTGCTCTTCATCCCCGCAAAAATCACACAGCTAAAATGTTTCTTGGACAAAACACATTGGAAAATGTTTAAATATTGAAATTTAGAGACCGACAGAGAGACATAAATCGTGTCTCTTAAATTTGCTTTTAACAATTTTGTAAACTGTTGTCAACATAGAAACACTCAAATCTCCTGAAATGATACTTTTTCCTTTTTTGATACCATGCCACTGGTAGTAAAAGAAAAAGCATCTCCCACAGCAACTTTGGAGTGATAAAATCCCCAGCTAACTCACAGACATGCCACAGCTGGCCAAGAATTACATTACATTACAGGTCACTTAGCTGCCGCTTTGGTCCAAAGCGACTTACATTGCATTTTTAACCCATGACTTTTAACATTTTTTTGCCCAGGGAGCAATTAGGGGACACTTTGGCATGGGACATGGAGCAGCCGGGCCTTGAACCATCAACCTTGTGGTTCCCAGCGCACCCTCTCTACTCCGTGCGCCATGCACAGGCACAGAATCAATGCCCGCCACAGATCTCTCAGTTTGGTCAAAGAATAATAAATGTTCCTTTTAGGCTAATGGTCAAACCTTTCTCTGCTGCGTGCTTCAGAAAGAAAAGGCCCTTTGAGCTGAGGGGACGGGGATGAAGGCTTTAATCAGGGAGGCCTCTTAAACGCTGCACTTTGATGCATATTTGGCCTTTGGTTCAATCAAGCTGTTTACCTGAGATCGGAGAGCACTAGCATCTTCATTTTGCATTTATGTATTACACGTATGTAGTGTCATGTGCACAAAATCTTAAAGTTTTTTAGTTTGTGATGATGACACATTTCTGTTGGTTTCTTGTTACTTTCCAGTAGTTTTGTCAGTGCTATCGACCATCTAACATGTTGGGTACCTTTGCGATTGTGGTACGTTAATCTTCAAAAGTAAAGCCTAAAAAAGTAATAATAATAAAGGGACAAATCGACTTGTTTTTATGGTAATTTCTTCTGTAACCTTTCAAAAGGGAGAAACAGAGCTTGTTAGTTGACTTTAACAATCCTTTGTGGTGCAGCTGCTGGCGCACGACAGCATGACATATAGTTTTTAATATCCGCACCGAGTCAAAACCACTGAATGTATGGAAGCATATCTGACCAGCGTTTCTTCATCTAAATGCTGAATAATGTTGTGTCCCATGCAGCTGACGCGCTGTGGAACCAAACCGACCGCCCAGTGCATTAATCCACCAACATGCCATCGGAACGCGATGCATTGGTCCAAGGGCAAACCAAATCGCCATTGCATAAATAAAGTCAGTGGCCACATGGACAACGTAATTGGCTTAAATGTGGCCTAGTTTGAAAAGACATGTGTCCCGTTTGAGTCACATTAAACTCAAAGTGGGTACATTTCAAAATCAGAAATCAAAATAAAAAAAGGGGAGGGGGTCTCTTTATATTGTCGTTTTTCATTGTTATAAATGACATCATGACAGACTGTCAACGAGCTGCTGATGATGGATGATGACGAAATGCTGTAAGAGCACAACTGCTTTTCTGTGAAGGGTTTAGCACCAACATCTGGTAGAAAATAAAGAGGTAGTGAATGGACCCAGTTCACACGCTTGGCTGGACATGAACATTACATTCATGTCCATTCATTCATTACATGAACATTACAAACGCCAAGGTTCAAATTGACACTGATCAATGTTGAGAATATAGTTTTGTCTTGATATGGAGCAGTGTTACAGGAACAAGTGTTTTATTATAACGTTGGAAAATAAAATAATTCTTCTTCACTTCATTTAATACACATTTAATTTTCATGCGCCTAATTTGAATATGAAACATTCAATGACTCGTCTTTCTTCTTTGAGGTTTGAAAAGACAACTGAGTGTGTATCGATAGTATTGAGAGGTGTTGTGTGACCCGACTTCCTTTAAGAAGCACTGATGCAGGAAGCCGGAAGACCGGGCTGACAAATAAGCTGTTCAGGGTCAGCATGTTCCCTTCCTTCCTGGCCGTGAGTTGAGCGTCACAGAGCTTAGTATCCTCCCTAAATTGGAAACAGGGAAATAAATCCATCTCAACGAATCAAAACAAATCACATAATAACGTAACCATTGACCAATTGGCCATCAGTTTTTCATTTTGTTTTCTTGAATCCATGAATTTCGTTCCTTCATATTTAGCTGTTCATAACAAAAAACAGAAAGGTTGAAGTAATACCAGATGGAAATTTGGCAGGAGAGGAAGTAAAAAACAAATCTCTACAGGCAGACAGAGATAAAACAAAGGATCCCAATACGGTAGAGTCCTTGAACAAAGCGGCTGCAGGGCCCACAGGAGCAATTGAATTATGTTGAGTCCTTGCTTTCAACCTAGCTGCAGGCAACGCTCATATTGATACTATATCATTTTACCTTCACTCCTCAAATGACCAAACAAGCTGTCCCAAATTAGACTCGCAAAGCTGTCGTTAGCTTTACATCAAAATGGTGAGCGATAAAAATAAATAAATAAATAAATCACACACACTTCATTTCTTCACACAAAGACAGGAGACAGTTTCACGCCACCGGGTTTGAGTCATATTGGTTGTTTCTCGTGGTCAAACAGAATGTTGTTTGTCAGTCAGCAGAGACTCAGAGCAGAGAATAATCGCATAATAAGACTGGAATATTTCACACAGCACTGGCAATTGCCCAAATGTGGACACTGCATCCATTATGGTCTCATTCCACGTATGTCTGACCGACATTCACCTATAGGGAAAGACCGGATTGCTTGTTTTGCCACATGATTATGCGTCGCGCTTTAATCACAACCACATATCTGCCTTTTCCTTTCTAACGCACATGAGCCGGCAGTCCCCGCCCCGGGCTTCCTGTTACACGGCCCTGATTGGTATTGGTGGATGAAGGTGGAGCTGCTGGAAGCGCACCGCACGCACCGGGAAACGGAGGAGATGGACACAAGATGCCACTGCTTATATTTCACAGCAGCTTCTATCGTGCTGGGATTCTTTTTTTTTTTTTTGCCTATTTGGGATCCCAGAATTTTGAGGGTCCTGGCCGCTGCACATGCACGTAAGTTTTCTTTTTTTGCATGCAAGTCAGAGAGGCCACATGCCACTGCTATAGATATATTGTACTTTTGTTATTAAGTTATTTATCCGGGTGAATATTTAATCCCTGTTGGTGTGGACGTTTCTCACAAAATGCCATCTGTGGAGCATGTCAACAGATTTATTTGATAGGGGATACTGCGCATGTTTTCACCTCGATCAAAGGACATTTCAAAGAGAAGACATGAGCGCGTGTGCATTCCACCTGTGCGTAATTGTGCAAAAGTGACTTTGCGGCTTTGCATAATATATTTAATGCATTTATAATACATACAACGTGTCATTATGTTTTTATGATTAAAGGTATTTTTTAATGGACGTTAATGGTACAGATGTGGACAACACAATACCAACTCGTATTGAAGACACTGACGATTATAGTGTCCTGGGGCAGTTTATTTGGACACACACGACAAATGAATTACATAACGCCCCCAATGTTTTTAGCTTTCAAATTGTTTTGTCAATGAATACTGTTGATATAACACAACAATAACCATTATTAAGTGTGTTGATTATGGGAATCCTTGTTCCAATGTTAAATACAATTTCTGAGTGAGGATTCTATAGCTGTATATTGTGATAATACGTGAATCTTTTTTGTATACTACATTCACAATTTCCATGCTCCTTACCCGTTTGTGAACTTCATCTTTCCACCTGATTGCAATGTGAAGGACACATTATTACTTCCTCTTGGTAATATGTAAAGAAGTGCATAATTCATTCATGGAATATTTGCGTTGCCTTTGTAACACAAATGGCTTTGGAAGCCTTGTTCTCACATCCTGGCCTGTGGTCTCATTCATCTTTAATTATGCTGATTGTCTGTTTTTGCTTTCCTCCTGTTGCAGCACTAATCTTCATGGTGGATGAGCAGAATGCTGCTCCCTCTGCAAGCCTCACAAAATGAACCTCTCTTTGAGTGACTCTGCCGCAATCTTGCATTACCCGAACACTGACAACCAACTGACTGCAAACTGCTCCTCGCCCTCCTCCAACTGGACTGTGGGGGAAAATACCCTGCAGCTGCCCACCTTCACCACAGCGGCGAAAGTCAGAGTGATTATTACCTGCATTCTCTGTGGCATATCGGCCTTTTGCAACCTAGCTGTGCTGTGGGCGGCGTGCAGCGATGGGAATCGCAAATCCCACGTCAAGGTGCTGATAATCCACCTGACGCTTGCCGATCTGCTGGTCACCTTCATCGTGATGCCTGTGGACGCGGTGTGGAACCTCACAATCCAGTGGCTTGCTGGGGACTTGGCCTGCAGGCTGCTGATGTTTCTTAAGCTGCAAGCGATGTACTCATGCGCCTTTGTCACCGTGGTCATCAGTCTGGACAGGCAGTCGGCCATACTCAACCCCCTGGCTATCGGTAGAGCCAGAAAGAGGAACAGAGTCATGCTGACTGTGGCGTGGGGTATGAGCGTCGTGCTGTCCGTTCCTCAGGTAAGGTCAGGTGCCCATGCTGCAGACAAAGGCCGGACTTCAGTTCTGTTTTTCATTATAAAAAGGTTCTCAGAAACATGTCATGCCCAGGATATATCTCTGTTCAAGTGAACAGGGATATTTCCTACGGTCTGAGTTCAGTTTAAAATAAGTACAAACAAAAACACCATCCAAAGAGTTGAATAAACATGGCCTCAAGTTTATTTATTCTGGGCCATCTGTTGCTCAATTACCATTAGGTTGGAGACTGACATCTATTGAATGATTGAGACATATTTTTGTTTGTGTTTCTTCTAGTGCAGCACACAGGCTCACACCCAAACATTGTAAACAATCTCAATCAATCAACCGATGAATACATAATTATTATCCTTTTCCTCCTCAGATTTTCCTTTTTCACAACGTCACCATTGTGCTTCCTGAGGACTTCACTCAGTGTACCACACGTGGAAGCTTTGTCTCTCACTGGCACGAAACGTCTTACAACATGTTCACTTTTTGCTGCCTGTTTCTGCTTCCTCTCGTGATCATGATCACCTGCTACACAAGGATCTTCTGCGAGATCTCCAAACGACTGCGAAAGGACAACCGTGAGTTTGAATTCGCTGTGAAGCTATGTGATTCAGTCTGCTTCAGTGATGAGTTAATATGCAACACAACTGCAGCTGTCCTCTGTTTGACCCTTTTAGCATCAAAAAAGTCCCAGTGCTAGTGCACAACTTTCCCAGAATAAACCTACTGAGGAAGAAGCCACTAAAATGTTAACGGGGTATTCAGATTATCAGCGAGAATGTTTTTGGACTGAAACGTAGTTGGTCCAACACTTTGGTCCAGACTGAAATAACTCATAATGATGGATTGCACTGAAATGTATGCTCAAGCGCCACCACGAAGTAAATATGAATGAATAAATAAATATTTATCTTTGCATGATATATATATCATTTTTAAATGCTGTGATATGGGAACCTTAAAACTTACTTTTTAATGACTTTATTGGAGCCCAATAAAACTAAAGCTATTGCCATTATGAGTCAGAACTGTGACCGAAATTAGACATTATTGTGCCGTAACCGTCAATAAAAATTGAGAAATTAGTTGTCTCCAACCGTCCACTACCTTTTTTCCACACCAAAACCCTCTGAGAGTAAACCACTCCTAATTATGCGGAATGACTATCTTAAACACTATACACTGTTTGTCTGCCTTCAAGCCTTATGTGTACTATGCTTGTGTCATGTCTTCTGCTCCCAGTGCCGTCCAACGAGTTGCATTTGCGTTGCTCGAAGAACAACATCCCGAGAGCCCGGATGAGAACTCTAAAAATGAGTATTGTGATCGTCTCGTCTTTCATTATCTGCTGGACTCCATACTACCTGCTGGGCCTGTGGTACTGGTTCCTCCCCAACGACCTTGAGGGGAAGGTCTCCCACTCACTGACCCACATCCTGTTCATCTTTGGGCTCGTCAACGCCTGCCTGGACCCACTCATCTATGGGCTGTTCACTATTCCCTTCCGCAAGGGGCTCCGGAGGTTTTACTGCAATGGCACCACAGTGTCCGACCTGGACAACCACACGGTTGTAACTGGATCTTTCACTTCTGCTCCCAACTCTCTGGCACTGAAAAGAGACGTGAGCCCCGCAGTCCAGGAGAGGGTCATGTTGCGCAATCTCAACCTCAACGAGGCAGAGTCCACGTCACCAAGAGGCAGGTTTTTAACAGCAGACAATGACGCAGAGACGGATCCAAACCCCGAGAGCCTCACATGAGGAGAGCACAGGTTGGAGGCTCCCTGATACTCGTGTTTTATTTATTCAAATGTAATTGGTGTTTGACTGTCTGTTTGCTGGGGTCCCGTATTTGTTGTATACTTTGTGTCATTTTGATTCACTTAATACGTAAAACGCTTCTGTACAAAACAACAATTGCAACAATCATAGCTGCCAATAAACACAGAATGTTGTAATTGCCTGAAGGGGGCAAGCAAAAAAAATAAAAATGCAAATAAAATCCAACGATAACATAGCAAGCATCTATTATTAAAGAAGGTCTGGCGCTGTGTACATTGTACCTTCTGGTCACGTTGGATGAAATGGATTTATTGGGATTCCGAATGTCTCTCGTGAGTCTGTGGCTGTTGGAAATGTTGCAACAAGCCGTCTCAAATATTGCAAAAATTGTACGCACACACACTGTTGCACCGTACAAATATGTTTTTAGTGATGCGTAACAGAAGGACCCCTGAGGGACTGCTGCTGTTAATCAGTGATGATTCACTGTGTACAAATGAAAAGGCCTTTTCTGCCCCTTAAATTTGACAAATTGATGTGTTGCCGAGATAACATATAACTTTCAAATAATTTTCAGGTCAATGGAAAATATAACGTGCAACTGAGATAGGTCAAGTTGCAGTGACTCACATAACTGGCGTAACATGTCATTTTAGAAGTATAGCATTAACGCTTCCTGAAGTTTTATAATAAACAGGATGCATTGAGAAACATTTCCTGAAAATTGAAGCATATCAAGTTTCTTCTGTGTCTTACAAAAAAAAATCTTTATCTATAAAAAGTATCTAATCTAATCTATTTCAGCTCTCGAGGCCTAAACTGGAAGATCTTCTATGTTGAACATCAGCTTCATCACCAAGAAGGCTCAGCAGAGGCTATTCTTTCTGAGGCAGCTGAAGATATTCAACCGGCTAAAGACGATGATGGTGCACTTCTACACGGCCATCATCGAGTCCATCCTCTGCTCCTCCATCACCGTCTGGTACGCTGCAGCCACAGCCAAGGACAAGGGCAGGCTGCAGCGTGTCATCCGCTCTGCAGAGAGGGTGATCGGCTGCAATCTGCCGTCCCTGCAGGACTTGTTCGCTTCCAAGTCTCTGAAGCGAGCTATAAAGATCGTAGCCGACCCCTCTCAACCCCGGACAAAAACTGTGGAGGAGGCCGAGGTCCATCAGTAACAAGACCTCACGCCACATGAACAATTTCTTCCTGTCGGCAGTCGGGCTCATTAACAGAACCCGGGTGCCCCGCTGACTGACTCTGTCATCCTGACTTGCTACCGGTGCCTCTGCTGCACATCTCTTCATACTTCATATCTAAATACACTCACATTGACTCACATTACACTTGTTTAGAGTATCTGTTAGCCTGTGCACTTTATTTTTATTGTACATTCTTTTCATATTTAATATTCTTCCTTATTGTAATGTACATTCAATTTATTCATATTGTGTTAATTTGTCTTATTGTCCAATGTATGCACCACCCGCGATGACAAATTCTTTGTATGTCCAACTTATTTGGCCATAAATGGTTCTGATTCCGATTCTTTTGTTGCTTTCAACTGTTTTTCTTACAGCACAGATCCCGGTGTGACCAGGGACCAGAGTCAGTAGTCCTTGCAAGTTAGAGATGTTGGTAGAATGTGCGTAAACAGGCATTGAAGCTGAAAGAGATGGTGCATTTCTTTTAGCATGTTACAGGGAAAGAAAATGTTAATGATGCACAAACGTCACAAGCAATGCTCTAAGAACAGCAAACCAACAGCAAACCTTGACAGGCATTAAAGTAAAGTCTCTGCCTGGTTGTCTTCCGCAAGGGGCTTAATATGATGAGGCTGCCCTGTTTTTACTGTCTGATGTTGCCAACAACGGATGCCAGGGTATTTCATTCCAGCACCTGCTCTTTCATTAGGCTCTAAATGATGTTTGGCTCTCTGGCATCAACGCTAAAGACATTTTTGAAATTCAAATAAGGCTTTCATGTGCATATTAAAATCTGTATCAGTTGTACTAGTTCCTCTTCACAAAGACACACCACAGTATGATCTGATAGGTGGAGCACAAAGGATGCAATTATCAAGATACACATTTCTATGCCAATAATGGGAGAGATGTCGTACTCGTGATCCATCAAATCAACATATTGTTGGACATTGTTGTTGTGTTGTTCTGCAGACAATCTAAACCAACACAAAAAGCCAATCAGGAAATAGTCGTTGCTGGTTGGTTATAGCGGAGTAATATGATGCCTCTGATAGATCTTCTAAATTACTCTCAACTAATTTGCTGTAACCGTGGTACGGACAATGTTTACAAGCTAAACATGCCACACAACCTCCATTTTTATTATGTGTACAACATGGAAATCATGATGTATGAATTGTCCCAAAGCAATGAAAAATCATTACGTTCCGTTCCCATTTAACTACATATTGGACCAACCTCTCAGTAGCGTAAAAGGGTCAAGTAATTGAATCAAATGGTTTTTCAGTTTTATTTCTACTAAATAAAACATTGTTCAAGTGGCATGACGTGGCTCAACTGCACATGAACACACCTCTACGTTTGTTATTGCCTCACATTACACAATGTTCTCTGCTGACATTATAAACATGGCCTATGAAACATTCATGGGCCCCAAAGGCAACAACAAGCATTTGTGTCATGAGGGAATGCTCAGTCATAATGACACTGAATAGATTCATCCTTTTATAATACATTTGAGAGACGCCTTGGAAACACAACAGATTTAGATTTTTATCTAAATTTGTAACAAAAACACAAAGCCCCGGAGAAAAAAAATAAATTTCATCATAGCAGCCAGCTAAATATCAGTTACTGGATTCAACGTTACTCTAAGCCATATAAAATCTATGGTTCATTGAAAAAATATGTATATTTATTTATTTACTTTTCTCATAAATTTGTTCGCAGATTTCAAGAGAAATTCACCACTAACTATATTCTATCAATTGCAGGAATTCAGTTATGGAGAAGAGGGAAGTCAAGGTGGTGGCAAGCTTCTAACCGTCATGAAATAAACACGTACACAAACAAATGTTGAATAGGACCTCGGAGCAAAAGTCTTTGTTCTTCAGCTGGCTGCAGCGTTGCTGTTGCTGTGTCGTGCCCTCCCTGCAGTTTCCTGTAGATGCTTCCATGTCTGCCTTAAAGCTTTGTTCCTTTCCTCCACAGACCGCGCTCTTCACATGAAAACATAGGAAACACAGAACAAACACTACTTCAGCAACTGTTTGTTTGTCCTCAGTGTGGGATTCTGCATGTCACATGACTCATCAAGGGAATACATTTTGAAAAGAAATTGGATAACAGATATTCAGATTGTTGTGGCTTTAAGTCATAAAGTCCGCACCTTTGCCGCAGGTAGAGATTGCACTTTTCCTCAAGAGTGACACAGCTGAGTGTGTTTAGTTGTTGTGGAGAGTCTGGAAGTGAAACAATATACCGCTTGATAATTTCCTGCTCCCCCAGAAGGAAGATGAAAAGCTGACTCTGGCGTTCTCCTTCAGATGACGCACTATAGCTGGATTCCTGGTTACCTGCTTGAGACGTGAAAGCTTTTTGTTACAGTAGTTGCATGTAAACATGTTTGTGCAGCAACCATCCGTTTCACACTTTGTGAAAGTCATAATCTTCCGGAAATGATTCCCTCATTAGTTCTTTCCTCCTGCTATGTTGGAAAGCACAACAAGACAAATAGGTGTCTTTGGGTTTACCTTGTATGAAAAGAGTCTGCTGCTCGGGGTTCAGAGCATAAACAGGATTGCAGGGAGAAGCAATCAGATGAGTTGTGGGAAGAATCAAGGAGCAAACATTGGTTCTGTTCATGACATCGTGAAGGAACATATTTCCATTTCTTTGCACCACGAGAGACTAAAAAAAAGGAGAACACAGGACTGAAAGAATTGAAAATGATAATTATGTAAGTTATACAGAAAAGACTTCAAACTTCTTATAAAAAATTCAGTATTCTTACCAAACTCTGCAGGAACGGGACCGAAGCAGTGACAGTTGGAAAGTCCGCGCTGTCTTTTGGCCTGTAGAGATATGGGAAATATTGTGCATCCATCCATCCATTAAATAAGGAAATATGTAAAATTCAGTTCACCTTTCGGAGATCTTCACTGTGCAACATTGGGTCCCTCCTCCTGCTGTGACTGTATACATTTCTCCACTTTTACACAACAACAAAAGACAGACTTTTGCTGCGATAAAAGTCTGCCAAACATCATCGTGCTCAGGCCAGTGATCCACAAATTGCATCCTGAAGAAGTCACTGTCTGTTGCTGACACTACTACAATCGACAACGGAGACCCTGAAGGAAAGACAGCATGAAGAGAATCAACTGCAATAAATATTACAATAAAACTATTTTGAACTGTACCATACTATACTACGGGGAATAACATAATGCTAGCATGCAAACATTACACATTACATCGCAATCAAGAGCTTTCAATTAAGATAATTCCAATGAATTGCAGTGCTACAGCTAAACGACAATGGGGTAAGATTTGATAACATTTTAGGATACGCCAACGTAGCATTTGCTCACCAGACTGCCTGTCCCACACACACACCAGAGCACCATCGAGCCCGAGAGCTATGTGACGGCTGCATCTACTAACAGCAGAGCACAGGATTTCCTTTGCATTTGGCCATAAAACATCTGGCGTAGGTTCCACGTCTGTGTCAATAAGGAAAAGGTCAAAAACAGAAAGGTTACACCTCTCTAGAACAAAAAGAAAAGTAGGAGTTGGAATAAAACTATTAACAACAGTCACAGATAAGCAGATAACACCATTCCTGTTTTGTTCTTTGCTTCTTTCTGCAGCATATACTGAAGAAGATTATGGCCGCCACTCCACCACACACAGACAGCAACAGGTAATCCCGCTGAGAAAAGGTCACAGATGAGAGGTTACATTAATTAGCGCATGGGATTTATTAATGGCAACCACTTTTGCCAAGTGTTTCATTAGAAAAGGGCTCTTAAAGAGTAGCCAATCACAGAAAATTCTCAAATTCAAAACTCAAATCACAGATACTGAAGAGAAAAACACAAACCCCGCGCCCCCCCCTTCAAAACAAACCTGACTGCAATTTGGCTTTACTGTCACCAGGAAACTGACCACAAGGCAGGAGGAAGTGCTGGGTGCAACGTCTGAAAGATATTCCATGTAACGTAACGAGGCGAGAAGGTTTTGAACATATATTTACATGAAATGACTTAGAGGCATTTATAATTAACAGCAAAGTGTTGGTTTGAGTTAGTGAAGCCCTCCTTAACCTGACCAACAGATTAAATAGATACTTACAGGCTTAAAAATATTCCATGCATAGACTTAGATTTTTAAAATACAAGCTGAAATGCTGAAAACTTTACCATACCTTGGTCTTCCAAATTTCTCCTTTGTTTTTCCCACATGTCTGTTAGAACCCTGCCCGTCCCATTGATGACTGCTGCTCTTCTCTCCTTCCAGAGCCAAACAGTGGGTGAAAAAATTGGTCATCTTGACCGCCTCAAGTGAACCATCCAATGCTGTCGCTGCCAAAGAGCAAAAGCATGCTGGGAATTTGATTCTTCACCGTAATGCATGCTCACATGTATTCTACTTGATTTCTTTACAATAAAAAAAAAAACAGAAGATAACTGCGTTATTATAGTTTATAATCACTGACACAGATGCATGGAGGCACGCGTGTCTGCATCGACCACAGTCACTTCCACACATTGGATTTATTTTCTGTTTTGTTTATCTATGACACGCTATAATTAAAAACACCGCTGCTCAATATATAATTATACCTGCTGGGATTTTGGGTGGCTTGATTTTAATCAGAGCTGCAACTGGAGACCATTTCACATCCATATCTCTAGATGAGCTTTGGTCCTGAGGATGCAAAGAAATACCAAATGCCTGAAACTGACCTTGTAATTCAATGACATAATGCCCTGCAGCAGTTAAACAGGCATGAAGAAAGAAGGGGTTACGTGTAAAGCTAAAAATGTGCACAAAGATGAACAGAAAGAAGACAGGTTTCCAGGCTAGTGCTCTTCCTTGTGCAGCCTTGAGTCCAGACCTTTTGTATTATTTATGCCATCATAACAAATAAAACATTCAGTTCAGATTCAAATGGCAGTTGACAATAACATTTCCTTATTAGCGAGGTGCCTAATTTGATGGCTAATAAACAATCATGTTCAACCCAGCCTACAAATCACATTTCAGTAAATCACCTGCTGTTGTGACGGTTCCATCTCTGTCTCTTTCAGCCAGGCTTCTGAAGGGAACTGATAAATCTCGAGCCAAACGGCACCGTTACCTAAAGGAGAGGTAAATCTTATGTGGATACGTCTTTTAATGTGATATATTTAAAAAACGTAATATAAAGTAATATAATGTCAATAACAGCTCAAAAAGAAAGTAAGTCCTTACTTACAACTCATTGACGCGGCGCCGTAATTTCCACCTTCAGACAGTTCAAATGTCAAGCAAATGCTTCTTTTGTTGATATTTTCCTGAGGATGAAATAATTTTAAATATTTTCTTTTTTAATTCGTTCCATTTGTAAAAGTATTACATTTATACACCTATATAAATATACACATTGTTTGGCAAATTATTAAAAATAGAACAACACGGCTTGATGTATCCTCAACATTCTGTAGGCTTTCTGTAGGATAGGATTTCTATACGCACCATGATGTTAAGAACACTAAGGGGGTGAATAGCTCCACAGTGATATGCAAAGACTCTGGCAACACCTGCAGTGGAAGATGAAAACAAAACAGACTTCAGTATTCATTCATTCATTTCATTTTCTATAGCCTAAAGTCACAAATTACAAATTTGCCTCCGAGAGCTTTACAGTCTGTACACATGCGACATCCCCTATGTGCCAAAACCCTCACATCACCACAGGGAAAACGCCTCAAAAGGATAAATGACACATCCTTCTACAGCTGTGTGTTATTGTCTCAGTACACTACAGTGTACGGAGAGAGACGTACGACCCACCCATATCATCAACAGTGCCCAGTAGGTAGGCTGGCTCAGCCGTTCGCGTCATTTGAATAGACGTAATTTCCATTCCGTCCTGCTGCCACTCTGCAGCACACGTCAGGGAAGATGCGCACCACACGGACAAGCCCCGGGAGTGACCCAGACTCAGGTACCTGCCATCTTTCGAGCACGCCAGGCAATTGGCGCTCACTGGAAGCTGACAGATAAGTAAAAGATGTTAAAAAAAGAAAGAAACATTATTCAAAATATATTAGACTGTTTAAGACGGGTATTATTGTAATATTGTTGTTTTAAGATCTCTGTCAAGAGCTAATGGCAGAACCTGTGTTGCACCGGACGGTTCCAAACCGGGTGTTTTCCTTCTGAATGTGTCTGTTTTGTGGGTTGATTCCATTTCTGAGTCCAAGTTACTAAAAAAAGAAATGCATGCAAAGAAGCAGTTTTCTTTTGTTAAGAAAATAATCAGTTACACATATTAGTATAACCAATTAGGAGTACATATCCAGCATTCACACTGGACAAAAAATATTTTAAATTCCATCTATTCAAAATGGATATTATACATTTTTTCGTAAGTAATTCTACATATTAGTTAAATAACAAACATTATTTTGTGCAGAAAATAATTAACAATAGGGCTGCAAAGACAGACTGTACAGAAAGTACAGTGGTCAGTATGAGTCGACTAGTAAATGTAGTAGGCTGCTCGGCTTAGTGACACCCAGCGATTACAGCATACAAATATAGTAACAACAAATTCAATGTAAGTAATTCTATATCGATGTAGAAATTCATTGGATCACAACACATTGAGTCAGCTATCGCTACATGCAGGCTACTTCCGGCGGAGCAAACGACATAACGTTAACTGACGTTAACTCTTTTTCACGCCACACACCGGCTTAGTAAGCGACTTTTCGTTAGCTGTGAATTAAAACATAAATCACCTGGAAATGGAAGTAATATAATAGTAATATACTTTGAGCCAGCAGTCTTACCTTGAACTGTCGCTCCAGAAGGAAAGTGTACGAGGGTCGTCATGACAACGGTTGCTATGTGCATTTGCTCATGGAGGCCTGCGGAGCTCCTGGTAATAAAAGTCTTTACAGTCAACACTGGTGCCATTTAGTTTTTCATTTGCTACTTTTGGCAGTTGGATTTTGTTTGTTTTCCAACATAGCGTTGATCGTGTCGGTCTGCTTTACGGTTAGGATGCTGTCACGGATTACCAACTTCCCGGTATCAGTCATACCGGAGCTCCAAGATCGATCCGCGCAATTTGAGGCTTTTTTTTTAGCGGGTTGCCAGTTTGTGACAAACCCCCCGAACCCCTCTGGCACTAGGTAAAATTCAGGGCTACACGTCATCTGTCTAACTACGAGCTATGTCGGTTCACACACATACCAGCAAATGCAGATCACAGTATAGATTCGCAAACAACTGCACTGAGGGAAAATATTGTGATTAAAAAAAACATAAATCATATGATCAAAGAATGAAAAAAAACTCAAAAGAGAAAGGCTCAAGACAAAAATGTTATGACTGATGTTTTTATTCCTTTGAAATTTGCACAAAAAAAAGAAAAAGAGAAGACATCTGTAAAATGCAGTTCATAAAACATATACTCTCTTCTCGGACTCCTCGGTGACCAAGATCAGGCGTTCCCTTCAGCAGGTATAGTAGTACAACTACAAAACACTTACTCTGCAGTAGTGGTGCCGTGTCAATATTCTGTCCAAAAAAACAAAAGACTTCACGGACCTTGTAATTAAGACAGCACGGATAAATAAAACTCATTTAGTGATTTTGGAAGAAATGTTTTGTCCGACCATTGATTTATTCATCCTACGCACACAACCCACGTATGATTATGGTCTCCATCAAACTCAAATAACCCACAGATAATGATGGTCTTTAAACAAGTACTTGACCGGTTCCCTCCTTGACGCCTTGTAATAATTACCACCCACAAGATGTCTGGGATGAAGTATTTCAACAAAGTTCTCTGTGTGCTTAAAATACAGCCGGAATCACTGTACGACCATCCAATGAAACTTCTCCATGTGCTCGTAGCGACGTCAGATAGCACGTCAACAGGAACACCAGCGGCAGCAGAAACAAGAGTTTCCTAATGATAAATAACTGAGCACACATCTGAACATTTTTATGAAAACAAGGAGTACCAGAAGGTTTACAAATGCAACTGATGAATGAGCAACGGTGTCACAGCCAATCGCATTAGATTTTTGTTGTTTTAAATCACATTATGAAACATCTCCTTTTAATTTCAGTACTATTCAGTTGGTGGGAGAGCCACTGTTGGCATTCATTTGAACAGAGGACTAAGACTAAGACAGCGAACAGGAATATAAGGCAGACTACCAATGTGTGTGTGTGGATTAGATCTCCTTGTTGATATTGGCAGTTTGAAGATTTTGTACTATAAAAGTGTAACATTAAGGCTTTTCATGTCATTGACTGCGTGATAACATTCTGAAAAAAACCACAAGGAACACTTACAATCTGCAAGGAAATTAAGCTAGTCTGCTGTCCCCCATTTCAGACTGGGTTTAGTGCAAAAAAACAAAATCAAATGGACAATGATTATTAACTGGAAACTAAACAAATAAACCCTCCAGGCTCGAAACAGTACCACACCTCTTTGCAATAACCCCATTAGCTCTCCGCAACTGCGTAAGGACAGACAGTTACGTAACCTGTTCGGCAAACCTTTGAGCTGCTCGCCAATCAAGCTGCTTGAAACGCACAAACACTTCAAATCGGACCTGAGAAGCGGAGGAGACAGACAGCACAGAATAAAAAAGGCAGGTGGTTTAAGATTAAATAGATCAGTAGTGCTAAGGAAGAGAAAAAGACACTTCTATGCGGCGGGTTAGAATACTGTGAACTAAATGTGGGGCCCGATAAGCATTTGGCAATGACTTTGGGGAGGAAATAGTCCTTCACCAAATTATTGCGACAGTCATCAAGGCCAAGCGAGTTGGTCCCATTACCAGTCACTGAAAAGAAAGGGGTCTGGTGAATAAATACTTTACACAGAAGTGCATTTGGGAGATCGCATATACTAAATCTTAACATTTAAAACCAATCGAAAAAGTAAGATCTTAACGAGAAAGTACGGGGCCCTTACAGGCTGGATTGCAAAAACATCCTCATTTTAATACGTCACTTTATATAAAACTTAAAATATTTATTTCTGCCAATCACTAGAATGACTTCACTTGTTTCTTATCAAAAAATTTGATTAAAAATCTTGATTTTTTTGTTTTTGTTTTTTACACAGGGCTGCTTCAGTGGAGTATCAATGATGAGGCAACTTTGATATGGAATTAAAAAATTACACTGCATGTCTTTAGATCTATAAAAATGGAAAGGGGAACACTGCCAAGAGCAATGTTTGACCATGTGTGTAACAAAAAAAAAAGAAAAGTAAAAGTCATTGCTACATTCTTAAATATTTCCATTGAATTGGCATACACCGTTACTGGTTTTAACAACGTTGCAAAAACCAAGAAGAGCGTTCCATAAAAAAAGAAACCGATGAAGGGGAGAGCCGATGCTACGAAGAAGCGCGAGAGACGTCGTAGTCTTTGATCAGCTGTTTGATGTAGGACAGTTTCTCATGGAGATATTCGCAGCGTTTCTTCTCTTCCCGGTAGCCAGGGAACTTCTACGGAGAGAGAAGAGAAAGAAAAAAAAAGGTTTTCACACCAGTTCCATCGGTCTTCATCGGACCACACTCATCTGCTGGACTTGGCCATCACTTTTTTTTGGAAGGAGACTCTTTGGAACCTTCAGGATTTGTATCTGATTTTGAGCTGAATCCCACCCGGCGGCACTGATGATAAACATGACAATGAAACAAAGCTTCTTGCTGGTGTTTTCATTTACTTATATACAGTAGTTCATAAAAAGGCATTGGCCTCAACTTGAGATTTTATTTTATAGCCAGATAAAAGATCCTCAACGGTGATTATAAATAATATGTAAGTCTCTTAACTACTGCATAAAAAATAACAAACCATTTGAATATTTGACCTACCTTTCGATACTTGTTGTACTTTTCAAGAATCTGGTCTTCCATTATCTAAAATGATACCAAACACAATTGTATAAAACAATAGTACGTATTGTTTTTCCAATGCACGCCACATATCAGATCAGATCCGGTGGTAAATAAATACCTTATATTCTTGTGTGCCAGGGGACAAGCTTTTGATCTTGGATCCTAACTGAACGAACATGTGAGTTATGGTGGCGATCCGGGAGTGGAGGTCTTTGTATTCATCATACTCTGCACAGAAATCCTCCTGGTACCTCCTACGTTGCTCCAAAGTCACGATGGTGCCATATGTTCTAAGAGAAAGACGCACAAACGAGAGGCCGTTTCCTCAAACGTTCTTTAAATGCAGCACCTCTCAAGGACACAAGATGGCAGCACGAAGATACAGATAAGCTCGACATTTTAAGTGCTATTTAGTTAGTTAGGATGCAATACGTCTCCATGCACCGTGATGCCCTTCAGCGTTACTGAATACTTTTCAAAAACCCCTCTGTGCTGTGAATGTTTGAGCAAGGTGGTCAGAACTCAAAGTGCAATATCCCGTCAAAGTCCCAACTGAATGCATACTGCAGGCAGTGGTTTGTACTTTGAGCGGGTAACTACAGTATGTACAATAGAAAAAGGGGATTTAAAACGCAGCCGAGGATAAAAAGGTACGGGGCGTATTGCACTTTCCATACCATTCATCACCACCGGAGACAACTCTTTATTACATGTTTTGGGAGGAACAAGTTATGGATGTAAACATTTGCAATACATACAAAATAAATAATTAAAGTCTATCTTGTAACACGACCAGTCGCTGTAAGCTCTGAAGAATGTTTAGAACATGTTTACACTCACAGCACATAATCCGGCTTCTCCTCAGAGGCCGCAGCGTGTGTGATGTCAGGATCTGGAATAAAAGCACAAGATAACGAAAATGGCGTCGGCTTCCACAGCTTTAATACAGTCATCTACATGACACGATGTTGTCTGAATGTTAGGCAATGTATATTTTTGTTTTGCGAAACGCAGCATGAGTGTGTGTGTGTGTGTGTGTGTGTGTGTGTGTGCGTGTGTGTGCGCGGGTATCAGGAGACCTGCCAGCTGAGAGACGCAGAGCAGTGCTCGGGCTGTTTGTCGAGTCAATCAGCCACATAACACACGGACGACCCCAGAGAATGAGGTTAAGGGAGTAAATACAGTTATGCTCATGAGATAATACTGTACGCAGACCTCACACACAGTCGCAACCGGCCATCGGCTCACAGTCTGTGTGGTCATTGTGTTATTTTCACTATAGAGGAGGGAAACCAGCGGCATGGAGATGAAGCCCCAGATGTGATATTCAGACAAAAAGCCAATTTGGTCACATCCACAAACTTTCTCCGAGTGCCCACGTGGACGTGAAGACGGAGAAAATATTTAATTAACAAAATCTGAAATGTGGCCAAAATCGACAAAACCTCTTCCTCACTGTGTCGGCTTTCAGGATGCGACCAAACACTACGAATGCTAATATTAATCGAGAGATCAGTCTACTTGAAAAAAAAAGGGGGGGGCTTACTGTCAAGTTTGTCCAGGTTCTGCTTGAGATCAGGACTCGTCTCCAACCATTCAGAGGCCTTGTTGTCTTTTAAGCGCTCCCGCTCCTTGTCTTTGTGCTTTTTAGATTTCTTCTTGTTGTGCTGGCTGTTGGCCGGCTGCTGGTGGGCGCAGTCGGAGTCCCTCTGCGGTGGCTGGCGGCTGCTCACTTTGGGTTCTCGATCTCTGCTCTCTGAGACAGGTGTGTCAGAGGCGCTTGTCAGCTTGGGCATCACGGGAAAGCCCCCGTGGCCCCCCGGCGAGCCCGCTTGGTTACCAGTATGGTTACTTGTCCGTTGAAACTCAGTCTTTGTGAGGAAACCGGGGCTGAGCATCGGAGCTGCAACGTCGTGTCCTTTGTTGTTTAACAGTCCGTTCGCCGTGGGCTGCTGTTGCAACTTTTGGTCCGCTGGTCTTTGTCTCTTCACAGTTGGCTTTTCCAATAAGTCAAAAGGCACAGGACGTTTCTGGAAGAAAAAAAAAAAAAAAGACAGAAAATCAATAATGGCATTTTTGCAGACTCCCTCTGTAGAGTGAGAAGTCATTGATCATCAAAAATTCAACAAGACAAAAGACGATGTAAATATGTTATATTACAGGTTTTTAAAGTTTACTGCAAAAATATAACGGCCCTTTACCGCCGCAGGATTCTTTGCTGCGCTGTGCTGTAGTGTCGTATCCTCAGATGTCTTTAGCACGGGACACATTTGCTTGAAGATTCCATGGTTTGATGTCCAATGTGTGGCTGCAACTTCCTGTTGAAGAAAGTTCCCTTGGTTAGACAAAAAAACATTACCAAAGTTTTAAATTTAACTGTCATTACTGCATGCAGATTTACAGGAGAACATACATTTTTTTTCTTGGTTTCTTATTGTTGATTAGAACTTCTACCAACATGTGTTTGACTGAGAAAAGAAGAAAACAGAACAACCGGCACGGCTTTCTGCCTTGAAATGTAAGATTATATTGTTTTTTTGTCCAATTAGCACTTTGTTAGCAACAATCAACACAAAGACATATTGTTAACGGGAAGAGACGATTGCATGTACACTGTAACCCCCCCACAGAGAAATGAGCTGTTCACGGTGAGATCATTCATTCTAGGTTTGTTGCAATAGCAGAATGTGTTTGTGTCTCTGACCCACCTGGCCAGCATCCTGCTGATGTGCTGCCTCTCCTCCTCGCTGTAGCCGGGCCAGTCCCTCTGCACATGCTTGTAGAAGTCGTCCCTCAGCAGGTAGCTGCTGTCTTTGGGATTCACTCTTGCCACCTGAAATAAAATATCCGGTACAGTTACTTAAATTACAGTTATTGAAATTGTTGAATTAAATGCTTTTAAAATAAAATGCTTTGATGTTATCTCTGATCATGTGAATGAATATACTGAGAATTATTGCAAATGACCAGTCTAGAATTTAATAAATGCCCGATAAAAATGAAATACCCTCATATATTTTATTTTGTCAACCAACACATTCCAAATTTATGTTATCAGGATACATTCATAGAAACAGGGTTTATGTTTTTTTAAAAAAAGGGTAATACAAGGAACTTTATTTTGGAAGTACAACCAGAATCGCTCTCAACATTATGTAATTTAACTAATTTAACAGTTCAGTCCTGGTTCTCCCGTGCCTCCGTTCCCTCCGGGGGGCCCATATGACCCTTAACTGTAATAAGTGGGTACAATATCAACACGTTCACTAACTGGAGTCTTAGATGTGCTGAAAGTGGCACATCCACATTCCTTAAAAGCGAAACCCATTTTTTTTCTTTTTTAAATTCAGTTCCCAACAGAGTCTCAGGCTTTAACCTCCTCTGTAATCTCTGACTTTCCTCTGACTTTCTCAGAGGACATCTATCTTTCTGGGGCCGCCTGACAGAGGGGCCCGCCCCACTGCAAACACAATCTCTGCACAGACAATTACAGCATCGACCTAATTACACACACATGCACGGACACGAAAACCACACACACACACACACACACACACACACACACACACACACACACACACACACACACACACACACACACACACACACACACACACACACACAATAAATCATAATTTAAGAATTGCAAAAAAATGTTTAGATCCCAAGTTTTATTTAAAGCACCGTTGCATTATTTTTAACAAAATGCTTTTTTAATTGTGTTCAATGGATTTTACAATTAGTTAATGGTTAGCTTTTATCAATATGAAACGTATGAATCAACAGAAATTGTAGTGTTTGTTAGCAAATTCGTTTTCAAGACTGTTATGATTCTGCAGGTCTTACAAATGTACAAAACCTTAATGAGCAACCAATTTCTTATGCATGCAAGTGTTCATATGCATTGCAATATGTTAATTTCCGCTCACCTCCTCCAGCGTAGCGCCCAGCTCGGTCTTGTCCTTCGGGCCGGCTCTTTCTCGCTCCAGCCACAGCAGCAGCTCTGGTTTCCTGTAGGGCTTGAGGGCCAGGAGGTGGATGATGCGCTCCCTCAAGGGCTTCTGGGTTGGCGTGGCCACGCCGCCGTTCTTCCTGTTGTTGGTGGACGGCTTGTGGACGCTGCTGTCTGATGCAGACAGAGGAGCTGGCCTCTTGTGGAGCTTGACACATTTAGCTGGACACACAAAGTAAAAAGGTAGATAGAGAGAAAACAAGACGTGTAAGTGACACTGAAGTTGCATTCGAACGGCTTTGCCCCTAGAACGGGTTGAAACTATTTGTTGCTCTGCAGATTTCCTCCAAAACCATTCTTTGCCCCTAAAATTAGTCAAAACAACTAAAACAAGAAATTGAATCTTAGGGATTTTATGAAATTTGGAGAGACTGAAGCTAATTGGAACTGATTTATAAGCCCTGAGCAAGGAAACTAAAACAGGACTTCAGTCAAATGTGTCACGCAAGCTTTTAAAAAAAACAAAAAAGTTCTATGGAGAAGGTCGAACAAAAGCTGGCGAGAGTCAAAGACAACCACATTTTACAAGTCTCAACCTTTTTTTAATCTTTTGAAAAGTTGAACATATACAACAACTGGATGACTCGGCTAATGGGGGCGACATGCGTCTAATATCCTCCATTGACCTTTTGCTCGGCTCACACGTACATGTTGGCCAGCAGATGTAAACACCCCAACAATTATTTCCTTACATCTCTGCTGCAGACAGACGGAGCAGTGAAAGCTATCTCTCTGTGCTAATCCCATTACAGATTAGTCTTCCAGTTGAAGGTCAGAGTGGGGCAAAGCTAGAGAAAAAGAATGCGGTCCTTTCAACCACAAAAAGTATCTCCTGCCAAGTGATAATGAGGCTATGCGTGACCGTTACTCTACTAGCAGCCATAAACACTGATAAAAATACACAGGCGTAGGTAGTATTTATGGTGTGGCGCATCAGATGCGTTGCGTTTAGGCTTTGGCCTGGCTGATAATCTGTTCATGAGTAGCCTACTTCCTCGGGCTAAAATGGGTAATGTAGAGTGAAGGTATTAAATGTTTCCATTTGGCCAACTGTGTTGCCAAGTCATCTTTCTCTGATGTTACACAATGAACAGTCTACGTTTGGTCTCAACCACCCAGTTTCCTCTCCTCTTCAGCTCCAGCACACAAGCCGAGAAGCATTATTACATAACAACGGCAAAGGTTGGGTAAGAGGGAAAGGCTTCCCAGCTCATGTTTCCTCTCATATCATTAATATGCTGCACAGTATAATCATGCCTGAGACACATTAACACTACGGCAAACACTGCATGAAATGTGCTGCCTGCCCAAACTAAATTGGTGCATGACCCCTTGTAAATCTTTGTTATTCAGTTTCGTGGCCTATAATCCATTTGGCTAAAGTTGTTGTTAAAACTACAACAACAACAACAACAACTGGTAACAGCCCTAGAGAGCAAATGTTTAATGTTTATCAGCCAAGTTTTAGAGATACATCAAACTACATTTTCGACAGAATAAACAGGAAGAAAGTAGCTTAGCTTTCACCTCTGGAATGACGCTTAAAAATAGATGTTGCCTTTGACCAATAAATAACCTGTACTTCCCATCGGAAAACCTGACAAACAAAGGCCAAAAAATGTTCACATGTGAATGAAAGAGGTGAGTTAGTTTGTTGCCTTATTTTTATATCCTAACATACGGCCTGCACATCTGGTCTCATTTCACATCCAGGTAGAAAATAAATATCTGGTTTCCAGCAATAAACACAGAATGATTTTCTCATGTGAGGCACATCTTACAATTGCTTTTATTGGTAGTATATTTCTATTTCTGTTTTTTTTATGAGATCAGTGAATCCATATTCAATTTGATCCCTCTCCACGCTTACAGCTGTTTGGCCTCTCCCCAATGAAAACATGTGTCATGCTATGATCTTGTGCTTTTGCTCCTTCAAAAGACATCCAGTCTCTTCTTACTTGGATGCGTGGCGCCGGGTTTGATCTCAATGGCGGAGCGGCTCCAGCTGTCCTTCTCCACCTGAGACATCCTCTCGCGCGTCATCTGGTAGGAGTCGTCGGTGGCGCACACCGTGATCTTGTCCTGGATGGTGCCTTGACCTTCCAGCTGCTCGCGGCCGTCGCTGCGGATCAAGAGCACAGGGCCATTGGACCACGCGGCTTTCTGCCGGGCCGTGCGGTAAACACTGTGAAGACGTGGATTTCGGGCGGCACACCCACGCGGCTGCCGTGCAGAATGGAGTGGCTTTGTGGTAAGAGCTGGCTAACGCAGGTCTGTGGTTGCCGTATGTTATGTCACACACTAGATATAGCTCTGCAGTCCGCTGCATGCGAGAACGCCACATGAACGAGTTGGTTCAGAGCAGGAAGGAGCCCGTGGAAAAAAAACGCTGGGATTAGTCGCAACTTAAGTAAAAAACGTTTGCTACAAGAACCTGGTCCGCATTAATGAATAATAATAAATCAAAAGGTTTACTATGAAGTCAAATATATATTTTGTTCATATCTAAAAAAAATAGGAGCCTTTTGGCCCTTACCCTATATTCATGACACAATAATAAACCCTCTAAATATCAAACGCATGTGGGGACAAAGCGAGGCGGAACTAGTCCGCACTGTTGCGTCGCCTCGGCCTCAGCAGCTGACTGGAGCCGGAGCTTTGAGTTCAGACCACAGTTACCCATCTGGCAGCAGGAGGCAGCAACAGAGTATTACTCTCAGTTTCCTGGCATATCCACTGCACAAACAAGGCATCGCAGGTCCCAGTAATAAGAGGGCCAGCTCAGAAACATACAGGGATTTTAAACGGCTCCATCCTGAGCGAGCTAACCGTTTGTCTTGATCCCCTCAGAGACATGAGCGAAAAGACAGATGACTTATGGAGACAACGCAGGGCACCGTCTGGGGTCACATGGCCACAAGTCGATCAGCTCAAACACACACGACATCGACGATTGTCGTGACTTGGCTAATTACACGTTTTCCCTTGCTGATCTATGTGCAGAAGCTTGATGTGGGGATCAGGATAAAAGTAGGGCGATGTTTTAAGAGACCAATTATTGAATAAGTACTTGATTTACATTTTATTGAATGATCATATAGTCGGTAAAACAGGAGCTTTCCATGTTGAGAGATGTAGAGCCCAAGAATAAATATTAATACAATGAATAATATAACAACTTTAACCCAGCCTCCTGTCCGGTCCGAGTGAGAGACACCTGACACGCGGTTTGCTCCATACCTTGAAACATATTGATGGATGCAGTCAAAGCTGGCTTGAGGTTGGTCTTTGCTGTCGCTGGATAAGTAAAAGGAAAAGACGCGGAGAGCAGAAGGTGACTCTGGCGTTGGAGCAGGGATCTTGATGTACTACACAGAGGAACAGAAGAAATTCAGAGTTTACTAAACAACACACACGCAGGTAGACGATCTTCCGTAAGTGAACAAACAAAAATCACACATAAAGGCTTTTGCTAAACAGATTACGTGTATATATGTGTCCATAATAACACACGATTGAAGAAAATGAAACCAGCCAGTTATTTTAACGGTTTTCTTAAAAACTCGGTCAACTCTGTGCAGGGAAAAGCAATTTCTAAGATAAACTCTGCTGCCAAATGCATCGTAGCCAAGAGCAAAGAGCCATCCAGATGGAAGCTTTGCGCAATCAACATACAGTTGTCCTAAATAAATAGTTCCTTCTAAAATAACACCTCCTCTAAAAGCCTGCTAGTATCTACTAGATGTTGCATTGTTAAATGGAGCGGACATAGCAGACGTGCAGCTAAAAGTAAAGACTCGGCATGTAAAACAAATGGTAACGTGGCCATTGTGATGGATTGAATGTATCCTATTGGAAGCAACCCACGTAATACTTAAGAAGAAGATCGTGGGATGCAACATATGCCGATCTTATGTTCTGGCACATGAAAATAGATCACATAGTTTACAGAAAGGATTGCTGTGTGCATTTTAAGGCAATACGACGGTCATATTTAGCCACTCCTTGGGCGGAAAGTTTGGTATGACGAGAACGCGATATGAAAAGGGGGTTCACCGAAACACTGATGTCCTCTACCAAGACATGTGAACTTGCACAGAAAATAATATGAATATTATGACACTTCCAGAGTAGAGGAAGAAAAGTACATGCACGGCCTGATAATTGTCACTGAAGACAATCTGCAAGATAATGAGAACTCGTGAACATCGGTGGGACTCCAAAGTACTTTTTTTATGTCATAAATGCCTTTGGGACGCACTAACTGCAATCCACCCCTTGCACATCTTGTTTTCATCGCATCTCAACACAGACATGTGCAAATGAGTAACACACACACACACACACACACACACACACACACACACAGGATCTAGAGTGAGACTTTGTGACGCTCTGTAACTTTAAATAAATCTCCTTGGGTAAACAGTGTTTTTAAGAGTCCGCTCCACTGAGGCGTCCATGAGATCTCCTGGCAGACTCAGTGGAGCGCAGCAGAGCCGAGGCTGCAACCTCCAGGGCAGACAAATGCACACATGAACACACACACACACACACACACACACACATGCACACGGATGTAATAACAGATCAGGAAAAACAAGGAACAGAGGAAAAGAAGAATCTGCACTGCTTTGACCACTGTGAAAAAGATGTAATTGCACGTCTGTGAGAGCCGAATTCTGAAATACTTCACTGGTATTTTCATTTAGCTTCATGGGACATTTTCAGCACTACACTACAAAGGCACCACAGTAGTTTTACTGTCGGAGCAGGGGAGACGTGGCCACGGAGAAACACAGAGAACTTCGGTAAACATTACGAGTTAAATCTTAGAGCGAAAGGTCAGTGTGCAGAGGATGTTGACACTGTCATCACAGGTATTCCTCACAGTGTCGACGAGGTCACCAGTTACCCAGCGCTCCCATTCTTCACAGTACAGGCAGCTGTGCCATTTGTTTTTTGGGGGGGGAGGGGGGGGGGTGAAGCAGCTTTAAGCGTAAAGTCATCCTGGGGGGATTTCCTCTACTTTCTCCAGCTGTGTCCCTCGGCTCCGACATGATTCCAACCCGCTCAGTCAGCCCAGCTCATGTCCTCCTGTGTGCGCGTGTACGTGTGCGTGTACGTGACACACAAGCTACACGGGTGGAAAGTATGATCCGAAATGTATGATGTGTAGTTCACACAGTGTTTAAATATTCAACATTTCAATTTTAAAATAAGTCTCCCATGGCTTTTTTCTTTTAATGCATTGCAGTCGAAGACGTTTGTTTATACCATATGCAGTGAAGTGTAACGCTGCTCTGTGATATCGGCCCGGCACAGTGCAACAGGCAGTTGGCGACTAACTAATGAATAAAGCGCAGCATTTAATGACCTAAGAATGCAATTATTGGATTCAGAGGAACACTAACATGCCAACAAATGAATGCTTACGTTCCTACGTATCCAATGGATGTTTGCCATATCAAATTAAGTATGTTGGTGTCAACACACACACACACACACAATATCCCTCATGCTTGTGCTTTTATTTTCATTACTAATGTAGCTCCACATGCTGCATTACCAAACTGTTTTTTGAATGCGCGTTCAAAACGCTTAACGTCAAATGTCAAGATTCAAGCTTAATCAAAAAGATTTTGGTACATCACATTTGCTGAGGATTTGATGTTTGAGGCAGACATGTGGTGAACCCATTGTCACTTTAAATATCTAAAAATGCCGTAGGATCAATCTGATCTAATAATGTAGTAAATACTGTCCAGCCCACATTGAGCAAGGTGGCCCTTTGCTCTCAGGCTGATCTTAACAGTTCCATCAGACGTTTTGGTGGAAGTGTGCAACAAAGACGTTGGCTCTCTTCTCTTATCAGCGAGCTGCACATGTCTTTACACGCAGGCTTTCACCACAGGAATTCATGCTCACTATATATGGCTGAGCTGTGATCGCACTGAAAGATAGAGACCAGCTCAATGCATGTGTGACATTACTTACGATTGAATGAGTTTGAGATTAGGTTGCCAGTGCAGAACACCAATGGTACACGCATAGGAGTAGGAGGCGGAAACACAGAGCAAGGCTGGTCAGTGGGATTATTTCTCATCATTAGACAGTTTTGTTAACATTTCACGAGATGATAAAAAGGTACTTGATGACCACTCAGCCATTCCCATTAACTAGATTATAATAAAGCCTTTATATTTCAACATCCAACGTGGTGCGACTAATAAAGTTGGCGGCACCAAAGTCGGTAACCCCCCCGGCGGGCCGCACCGGATGCACCGGGCCGATTTCCCCCGGTTTTGAGACCCCTGGTCTAGGCCATCTTATTGATTTCACGCTTTTTTTAAATTAGTCTTTTAACTATTGGATTAGTTGTGCAGCCAAAGAAACAGCTGCTTGTCAGCGCTTCAAAAATTTAAATTTCCCTCCAGTACAATCCGAGGATTTGAGATAATCAAATTCCTACGAGTGCTGATACGATTAGCCGACAAAGGACTTAACCGATACAACAAAAAATGAACCCTGAACCCTTTTCATTCTCAATGAATATGTTGACGTGGCTCAAATAAATACACGTGACATTATAGTTTGGGCTCGTAGTGACTAACACGCTGAACTAAGTGGGTGAACAAGGCTGCCAAACATCCAAACATCAGCATGTTAACATTGTTGTTGTGATCACGTTATCATTCCCCCAATCCTAATATATATATAATATTTAGATTCCTTGTTGGGGTCTAGTCTCACTGCTGTAATCAATGTTTTTGGTTGGCAAACCATTACTGAAATGCTGCTTATGAAATGTAAAAATGTATGTCATTTTAAATTGAATAACTCATGGTTTTTGATTGTAGTTCACAAGCAATCTGAAGAGCAAGCTGCCTCCTAGCAACAATTACAATAAACATTAATTGCAGTTATCTCCCAAAACAAAAGGGAAATAATACGGTCGATGTCTATTTGGCTGTTGAATTGAGACGGTACAATTTCCTAAATGGAAAAGTTTCACCGTCCACCTAAATGCTGATCATGAGGCTTACTTTAAAATAGCCCAGACAGACGGTGAGGAGGCTTGTTGACTTGTTTGAATTTCACTCCCAATTAAACCCAACCTGCGAGTGTGATTTCCTGTGAGGTATCGGTTTGTTGGAAGGTTGAAACTTTTTTTTTTCCACAGTGCGAAAGCAGTGAGTTCACGCGTTCTGCTTTGAGAAGACCCGGGAAGAGCTGAAGTGAAGTAAAGCACTTCCAGGTGAAAATTGAGTGTTTTAAGTAACCGATAAATAAATTGTTGATAGAAAGCCTCTGAGTGACAACAGCTAACGAAGTACGGACTCTGTGTTTGTGCTGTGTGGCGTCACAGGATTCCAGCTGTGCACCGGGCAGCACAGGCCGGCATTAGTCCAGTGGTGGCTGCTTGTATGACCTCGGGGGGGCGACTTAAAGCCCCCCCTCCCCCCCGCTGTGCAGACTACAACAAGCACTCTCGCTCCCAGACACTGGGGCATCAATGCTTGGTGCATTCTCCTGAGAGGCACACATGGCAATTCAAATACAGGAGAGGCGCTTGTTATAATAATGAAAGATAATGAAATATTTATTGTCCTTCTTGCGAGTAAAGCAGCTCCTTGCTGTTGATCTTTGCAAATGTTGAAGGAAAGAAAAGAAAATGGAAGCAACAACATCCATTAGAAGTAATTAGAAATATTGTCCAACACTTGGAAGTGACTGACGACCTCATTAATTCCCAGTGACCCTGGAAGGTCAACAGGCACACCCAGAGAAGTGTGTTTCAACATACAGTACAATAGCTTCTTTGGCCCCTGGTGCCAACTAACTCCACGCATTCACTCCCAGACACGGCAGTCTAAACCACCCCGGGCTCACTTAACATTCCCCCTTCTCCTTCTGATTGAGGAAGCTACGACAGCCTCCCCCTCTGGTTGATTAGTCTTTTTAATTTTTCCTTTTCTGCAGAAAATGTCAAAACGTTACTTCTAACTACAGTGCTACCAATCCCTGTCCAAGCATCGCTCTTGGCGAATACCTGTGAGTCTGTTAGAAAAGAGTCATTCAGTTTTCTCCATCTGCAAGCGTCACCATTTCTGCTTCATTTGAGTCGTTGAGATTCTTCTCTGAGTGCGACGGACTCGAACGGCGTTGAGAGGTAAATGAAAATGATTTGAAGACTCTTTACGGACAAACAAATTCAACCGAATCAAATAGATTTAATGAGATGTTACCGTTTCACTGGCGTGACCGGGCTCGCAGAAGAGAAACATCAATCGCTCGATCACTCTAGTTAGCCTCATTAAGTCTTCCGCGAACTGAACACTCCCTCCATTTCACACATGCATTAATCACCACAGCGTCATTACCTCAGGCTCCCGAGAGTTATTGGTCATGCTCTTTTTATATCGATCGTTTTGGAAAACAGGAACAAATGTGAAGACATTTTAACTTTTCACCCCAAGAGCTTTATGTAAGAGAACGTAGGAGCAGTTTACAGTTTGGTAAGTTGATACCTGCAGTTCTGAATGGCACCTCTGTGTATAAACCGGAAAGACTAGTGTGTACAGAGCGATCTGTTATTGTGTGGTTAAACCCCTGCAAACGGGTGCCTGCAAGTAGGCGTGTGTCTGTGAATTTCTAAAAAAAAGGAAAACTGTGGTATTCATAACGTCGTGCACGTGGACATTAGAAAGGAATCTTTTAGAAGTTAAAAAAATATTTTTGTAAAAAAAAAAAAAAAGGTTAAAAAGGTTTTGAATCCTTGTAGACATTAAGTCAGAGCCTGTAACCACAGCGTCGGCTGTCCAATCCCCGGCTGCTGTCCCATTATCAAAGTGTCCTTGAGCGAGACGAGTTAAATACACAGGTCAAATATCGTTTATGTAGCTGTATGACCTGCACTAAAGCAACAACAACAACAACAAAAAGTATGTATCTTAATGAGCCATTGTTCACTTCCGACTGTCATAAATGTCTCCACGCGCTGAAGACGCAGGACAGGCGAAGCTCATTTTCCTGCCTTCCTCAAACTATAAAGTCGATTGAACAAAAACTGTGAAAGACTGCTGTCGGTGCGCAGGGCTTATGTTTCCTGCTGGCTTTCGGTTGAATGTGGGGTCTGGGTGTAGATCTCATGCAGGCTATTGTTTCCACATCCTCTGCAGCCTGAGTAATGGCCCTCTGAAAACAGGCGGCCTTTTGTTCTGGCCTCCTCGGCTCCAGAGTGGGATGCCACGGCACGGCTTCCCCTTTCTGGTTGATAGGAGGAGAGGGAGGAGGTGCAGGAGGAGGGAGAGAAACCTGTCGCCACCGCCGGTGTCTGTTATCAGCAGGAGGAAAGTCACTCTGGGCCCGATGCTAATGCAAACCGTGTGCATGCGTGTGTGTGTGTGTGTGTGTGTGTGTGTGTGTTAATCCAGCGAGAGCAAAGAGAGTGGCTCAGCTCCAGCTCTTCTCACCAGGGTGTAATCAGCCTTACTGCCACTCATAAGGGCTGAGGAGGAAGAAAGGCCAAAGTCTAGCTATCAGACAAATATCTCTGCCACTAGCTTAGAGACACACACACACACACACACACACACACAGGTTGAGACGGCTAGCCACCGCCACCCCTCAGCCACCCCAAACACAACTTCTCATGACAAACAAAAGAGACAAATCGTTCCCAGGGCCGCAAGTTGACACATGCCATTTAAGAGGAGTCCCCCCCCCACTCCCCAATGGAGGACCCCCATACGCAACACAATAGTGGGTCTGTGTCTCCGGGCCGGCCGGAGGAGCGAGGGAATGGGCGGACGGCAGGGAAAGATTTTTTGGGTGCTTTCGCGTGCGTTTCTGATCCTACAGTCAATTAGTCAACGCCGCGAGCAAAGCACTGTCTTCTCCCTAGCCGAGCTCCACATCCTGGCACGGAGTGATTAATGTGGCTGCCTTTAGTGGGAAACAGTGCATGTAATCAAGCCCCAGCCTGTAATCGCCTCCCATTCCTTTTCATTTGCTATTTCACAGGAGGGACAGCGCTACTGCCAGAGCTGCTCGCTGCAGTATTTGTGGGCATAAATTAGGAGGAGGGGAAATGGAAGATTGCTGTGCCACCACAAGCATCCCCCGAGGACTCTTCTCCCCCCCCCCCCACCTCCACCCTCCAATGCCAAGAACGATAAGTCTCTGGCAGGTGCCACAGGGCCAAAGACTTCAACCATTTTTTGGGGGTCAGCATTTTTGACAAAAGCTCCTCCTCGTCTCCATCCAAGCGAGGTGGGTTCCTCGAGAAAACGCTATGTTTTCACACGTGCACGGCCGTACCACGACATGTGTGTGTGTGTGGGGGGGGGAGGGGGGACAAGTGCCCTTTTATGCCTCATTAGCTCACAGTGTCACAGGACACGTTCCTCAGCCAGCCAAGATGTGCTCCGTATCTCCAAGCTGCTTAAATCGGACAGAGAGCACATTTTCCCGGAGCAGCCGCTGTTGGATCTCAGGGGGCCACTTGTCGGCGCCTGGCGCTCGCTCGCTCGCTACATAAATATGTAATCCGGGGAAAGGTGGCGAGAGTAAGCTATAATCACAAGGGTTTAAAATAGCACAGTTGGTCAACAATTCCCCCCTTTGTGGTCAAACACAGATTAATGCAATCGGAGCGAAAATAACGTATTTATAACTACTGGCATACACAGCGTTTACAGTATGCTAAAGAGTTCACTGAAAAAAAAACAAAAAAAACGGCTGCTTACATTCCTAATTGCGCTAAGTTTTATTAAGGTGTCAAGTACCTTCATTTATGTGTCAGGATGCTTTATGCACAGAGAACCTTTGTACAGAGCATTATAGTGCAGCCATGTAGATAATCGTCCAATTTCTTGACCTGTGTCTTTGACAATTTAGAGTGTGAATCTCCTCCGCCCACAGATGTCCGTTTCAAGTCTACACTTCAAACTTAGGACATCGGTAAATAAGTGAATGTCCATAGTGGAATATCTGCAGTGCTCTCCATTTTAGTCTCCACTCCATTAGACCCACAGCAGGGGAGTTTCTATTATTTTGGGCACAAACAAACCCTGAGGGCAGGCCACAACACATCTGGGCTGACTGTACTCTGTATTGAATTTGGGTGATCCAAAGAGGTTGACAACACACTGCCTGCATTCCCCCGCTCATTGTTATTCAAATCAGAGGAGACAACACACAATCGGAGGGGGGCTCTGGGGATCTCAGCATAGACGCACACACACACACACACACACACACACACACACACACACACACACACACACACAAAATAAACTCAAATGCAGACACTCATAGAAAAGTGACAAAGATTCCCTGTCTCCTTCTCCCTCACAGACACACACTGAGACACACAGCCCTTGTGGGATCGCACTCCACTCCTGCTGGGCAAAAGACTGCTGCACAATGGGCAGAGGACGCAGGACAGGAAAAGGGGACGTGGGACATGAATAAATCATGGCTGTAGACCACACAGGACACGGCATAAACACACACATGAAAAAACAACCTGCCACACCCACGTGATAGCAAACGAATAGAGAATGGAGTGCATCGCTCACACACACACACACACCTTAAAGAAAAGATGAGCTTGTGCTCTTTTTAGATACACACCGGAGTAAAAGTGGGACTCCAACCTGGGAATGAGCCCGGAAAATTAGCCGGGCAGAGTTCATGTCATCTGCTATTACTGCAGCAAAATTGTGCCAGCGCTACACACACACACACACACACACACGCACACACACACTCCTGCGCGACCACCAAAAAACACACATTTGTGAATATCTGAGTCAGCGAGACGGGCAAAGCTAATGCCAACTGAAGCCATGATGCATCACGCTGTAATCAAGCGCCTTACGCCATCCCATAATGACCTCTAAACATGTATATGGTTAATAACTTGCCCTGCAATCCCTCAGCCATCGCAGTGACAGCAGGGGTGCAAAGATGGACCGCCATGGTGTAAAACCTCAGACCACGGGGCTGTGTTCTGAAATATGTGTGGACGCCGTATCTGATAGAGCACTGTTTATCTGTTTATCTTAAATAAACTAGATTGTGTCATGTTTTATGAGCGACTACTTCCCTGCACAAACTGTCAAGCGGTGGATCGGGATTGGAGCTTTTTCTTCAAATTGAATGTTTCACATATTCCCGTCGAGGCGTCATGCCTTTGCAGTTGGGATCTACAGAGCCAGAGAAAACAAAAACAGCAGCTGACCAACTGACCTCTGACCTCCAACACCCCGAGCAGAAAACGGCTCTCAGGCTGAAAGTCCTGTGGAATGGTGGCAGCTTGTGTCCAGACTCCACTGAAACTACCTGGATTCATTAGAACGCCCACCCACCGGATCATAATAATACTAATGATGGATAGGGAGTTCAAATTCATTTTACTGCCCACGATCCATCAAGGAGAAAATAAAGATTTCAACACTCTCAGTTAAAAAAAACATTTTTAAAAGTATGAGTGACCACGAACACACTTACTGGTTTGATCCAGTCTGTTAACCACACAAGCCCCCCCCCCTCAAAAAACTCACCAGAGCTCAGCTCATCTTGTCGTGACAGGAAGGGGGTTGCACTCCTTTCCAACCGGCCCGTGCTATTGGAATACACTTAAAAGTAAAGTATTCCCCAAGGACACAGCTGCTCCTGACTTTAGTCAAAACACGAATAGTTCTGGCTCGACGCGGCAGATTATGATTCGGTTTCAAGAGCACATCTGCAAGACCGAGGCCCAAATGTGTGCAAACGTCTAACATGCGGTGAATACACACTCATTCCCCAAACGGAGAACAATGTGGTAATGTGGTACGGTAATCTCCCGTCACTGAAGGCTCCTCATTTGACTTCTGATAACTGCTGTTCTCTTCTGGAGATTCTGCGTGCGCGCACACACACACAAACACAAACACGCACGCGTGCACATACACACTTCCCCCGCCTCTCCCAGCACCGCTCACTGACATCACAAAGCCGCCCCACAGTCACCAGTCTGACCCAGTAACCTGCATGGCTCTTATCTGCTGTGGACGTCCAGCTATGAGCTCCCACTAATGCAGTGTGGTGGGGAGTGTGAGGAACGAAAGCCTCTTTTGACTTTGTAGAATTAAAGAGATGATATTGTCATACTGGTATGAAAAGAATGTCACGATTGATGTGCTGCGTTTTAAACATCTGCATTTTTTATATTCCTCTCGTTCTCTGTTGCTACATTGGATTCAACACAATAACACTGACTGCACAATGAGCTCAAGTTGTGAATGAAAAAAAGGAAGGAGGAAGAACTTACCCCTTGGTTTCCTTTGAAACATATTGATGGCTCACTTGGTAAAGAGATCTGAGGTAAAAGACAGACAGACGCAATTTACTTAGTTGACTTAGTCGCAGGCATTAACACAGTTGTGTAATCAAAGCTATTTCAAATTATTAAAAAAAAGAAATGTGTTTACATGCAAGTTACACAATCAATAATTCCCCTGTGCTTTTAATGGCATCCGTTGCAGCTAATTGTGAACCTATACTTGTCAATTAAGCAGGCAGACTGCAGTCTGCTGTACTTTAAAGCACAAAGAAGGTTTCCCAGCAAACAGCTGACGGGCTCGTCCCCCGTCAGTCCGGCTATGCTCCTCGGTAGTGTGGCCAAATGATTCAGAGGTGAAGGGAAACTACTCTAATTCATTTATTCATAACATATGGGGAAAAAATACATCTTTTAAAAAAAACTAATTAAATTAAAAGAAAAGCTATGTATAACAAAAGCAAACCAAATAAAAGTAAGACAACTTTTAAAACACAAGTAAGCTCAGCCAACAACTTTTACAGGAGCACAATTCATCACAAAACAACCGCGCGCACACGCCCGCCCGCGCGCGCACACACACACACACACACACACACACACACACACACGGACACTCACGGACACTCACACGCAAGCACAGAAACACTCGCGGTAAAGCTACCTTGAGTTTCTGGTACGCTTCCAGCGCCCTGATAGCCGTGTCCGTGAGCTTGACATGGTACAGCGTCCTGTTGGGGCTGTTTCTGTTATTTCTCCCGCAGGACAGCCCGTAGCGGTGCTCCTGGCTGAGCGAAGCCATCGCTGGCTTTTCTCTCTGCCCTGCAATTAAAGCTGCTTTGCTCTCTCGGCTCAACGCTCTCCCTGCTACGTCACCGGGTGGGCGGAGCCACGGCAACAACGGCCCATCACAGCGGACTGACTGCATGCCGCATTTCCACATTGAATTTATTGCCAATGGAACGTATGGGGATGATTTCTTTCTTTATTTTCAGATCATGGAAATGATCAAACATATGTGTCTTGTCTTATCTGTGGGATTATTTTATAGGATTTAAAAATTCAATTTCCTCACGAGAGAGCTGCACCATCATTTTTCTAATTCAAACAATGAGGCAAAGGACAATAAATTGGCGCTCTATGGAGCCTTTTAGCTTCATAGAGCTCATTGTTTTGGTTTTTAGACTTTTTTGGTTTGTCTCCCCAATGTCTTGAACCTGATTACCAGCTGCAGAAAGAGACAATGCTCAAAGCCCCCTATACACTCATCCAGGACCCAACTGCAGCTGGATACAGTGGGTACCTAGATGGTGAACACTTAGCTAAGACCAAACCAAAGATGTATGTTGCACCTACATTTGCCAAGTGGCCTCCATCGGATTTTAATCTCCTTATGCAAGATCTGGGAAATGCAATAAGATGCATGTGCAACACATTGAGAATGTGTCCCCAAGTTGTGCAGGCTCTGTTTGGTAATGATTGGTCAACTAGGAACAAGCCAATCGACATAGCAGGTAATGTTAAATGTTCCAACTACAATAAATGTGGCGGCTTGTGTTTAATGATAGGCCAACTGTTTAAATGGACAATGACTCATTAATGAAACATGAGAAGGCTCAGCTAGCTTAACCAGACAATAATATGGCCTCTTAGTTAGATTGTTTGTCCCATCCAGCACAAGACCAACACGTGTACAAGTTCCCCCCTCTCAGTAGGATGGGATATTTAGACATGCACTAAACTTAATTTAGTTATTTCAAGCCTATAGCATGTAGAAAACAGTGAAAAAGTTACTATAATCAAATGCCAAATTAAATGTGTTGGAGAAGTTTTCTGGAAAAGACAGATTCCATTAAAACTATTAATAGTGTAATAGTGTTAGAAGTCACATTCAGTGATCTGTAATAAAATAGTGATAGTCAAAGTCAATTACTAAATGAGAGTTGTACAAACTGACGCAGGACACTCATAGTCGGAAAAGCAATTCATAAAATAGATGAATTGCCATTCTCTGATTTTAAACAGACACAAAATAAGGTAAACTAAAAACTAAGCGACATTCACAATGTAGGTCACTTTGCCAATAATCCTTGACACGAAAGATGCTTATCCTAAAGGGGTTAACAGGCTTAGTTATCGTCATTTTTGACAGTCTGTCCAACTATCACTCGTCTTGTTGGTTGTTGGAACCAACAGAAACAGGAGCACATTAAACTGGCACTGAGTCCACTGCGGGAGTAGATCTGTTATCTGTTTACATAACTCAGAGAAAGTGCACAGGTGAAGGTGGAGGTTGGCAAAGCAGATGAGTCTGACGTGTAAGCCTATTTAGCTAAATTACTAAGCTACTCCCTCAATGAAAGTACATAGCAGGAGGAGGGGTTACAACAGGTCAACAGAGAACAGGTGGTGCTGAATCTTCACATCATGCACTTCACTGAATCTGGGATTTTCGAGAAGAAAAAAAACTGCATCTTCTAACCACCATGCATTGTTGTTATAAGTATAGGAAACTATGCGTACTGTGTAATAAAACAGCAGTCCTTCCACCCCGCCGCAGCATGTGGGTTTGAATTCGCTCCTTCAACAGGCAGTTCAAGATTAACCCGCGTCAACCCCTCCCTCTGCTTTACCTGGCTCGACTGTCGCATCCACTCATTGTCTCTATGGCTTGCCATCTGCTGCATGGGAAACCGCTAATGCACACCGATCCCCTGGGAGTGATGTTTCACACCTGAGGTCATTGACTCCCGGGACACCTGCAAAGAGGCAGCTTGTTCACATTGTATTATTGTCCCTCATGTTCCCTCTCCTGTAGTGCAGAGCGGCCGAGAGCACAAGGTTGAAATATACAGATTACATCAAAGCCCCGCGAGGATAACATAATGGTTCAATGAAACGGGAGAAGTACACGCAGGTCTACATATGGAACGGTAGTCAGTGGGAGGAGAACAGGACGTTTGATCTGCGTTAGCTAATTGTGTATATTCGTTTCAAAACACCTACGTAGAGATACTATATTAGTTTTGTAGAGCCACCAGGAATGCATTAGTGTGACTATAAAAGCCCTTATTTATTACTCAGCATGCAGACAGAGGAGTTGAGTTTGGCTCAAAGAGTTTATTACCAGTGCATTTTGAGTTTTACCTACCTCAGTGGTAATTGTAAAGCCATTATATGTAGGATGTGACTATACAATCACCACGATTTTTGCACAATCTACATCATAGATTCACAAAGTAGAACGGACTACTTTATTGCATTTTCAACTCTTCATCTACATGCTTACTTAACGTGCTCAAACTGACGAAAATGTGAAACAAAGTAATGTTAAGTCTTTGAAGTTGCTAAGCACACAAAATGAATATGTTATGTGCATGCAAATTCAGAATTAAAAATTATAAATTGATACAGCATTGACATTTGCAATCAGAGTCGTGAGACGCGACAAACATAATCAGGGTTCGTAGTTAGTAAACTGTAGAGAATGCATTGCAAATGTATAGTGTACTAATCTCAGATTCAACTTTAAGTCTCTAAAGTATATCTACATCCGTTTCTGTGTCAGTGAGCACACATAGACTGCATACATGACATGTTTTTCATATGTACTTGATGATAGACACAAGAAGCATGCACACGCAGGATCAACGCCACATGCATCACTGCACAGTTCACTGAAGATTTCAGCAAAGACGGTGCAACGGATTCAAAGGCTTAGGGTTTGAGTGTGTGTGTGCAGTTTACACACACGCACATTGTTATTTCAGCTGGCAGAGATGGTGTATCAGCCAGTTTGAGAAAGTCCTTACGAATTTGGGAAAGGTATCGGGTTAGACACGCCAACGCCTTTTTGGTGAGAAGCTAACACTCGCCTGCCGGAGAAACTCTCCACGGTTTTCTTTTTGCAGCTGCTTTATCAGAATATTGAAGTTAACAATTTGTATTGTAATGACCTTGTGCAGAGAGGTTGAAAGCTTATCAAGTATTTAAATCGACGTTTTGGGGTCTTTGAATTACCTGGAGAGGTAAAAGAAGGTTTCTTGTAACTGTGTTGAAAGCAAATTTGTAGTGTTTGTTCATGTGAATGAAGCGTGAGAGTTACGAAGGGTGACGAATCCTAACATTTATGCCTGAAGCCACACTCGTCTGTGATTTAGACGTGGAGGAATTTCAATACGCTGTGTTACTTTCAAGGCGGGTTGGCAGAATAATGGCAGCAGGACCTCTCCATGTCTGACTAAAGGTTATTGTAAGTACAAGCCCCAGAACAAACAGGGGAACAAGCTAATTAATATTTAATAAATTAAAAGAATAGTTTGACATTCTGTAAAATAGATGAGAGATGAGAAAAAACTGATACTGTGCAGTAGATACGAATCTGGTAGAAGTTGTGAAACTGGAAATGTGGAAATCGCTACCTTTGCTCTAAAATCCAATAATCTGCAAGTCTAAATGTCACTAACTATCTGTGTTAGTAATGGGTATGTTTTAATGTGAATTGGTTATAGTCTCCCTGAGAAAAGTAACTGTACAATGGTCTATTTCTGTACTTCTTCATCAAGGACCCCTAAACTGGCAAAAGTGACACCCCCATTTGATACGTTTTGTCCCAGGACTCCCCATGTGATCGAAGCTTGCCTTGTTAGATGTTTACTGCATTCATCTGAGGAAACCATGGAAACCCCTCAAGGACCCCTGGGGGTCACCGGACCTCAGTTTAAAATCTACGGGTCTGCTGCGTCTCTATCTCTGCAGAGTGACAAACGCTTATCACCCAGGAGCAGTTTCATTGCACTGCAATGCTCTTGTAACAGCCTGATGATTTGAAAATGATTAAGGGGTGATCATTTGATGTACAAGAACTAACTTGTAAAAGTAACACTTTCTTTTTCTAACTGACGGTTATGTTCCAGAAACGTTTTCCTGTTTCCTGTCTTTATGCTACGCTACACTAGGCTAACTAGCTGCTTGCTCCAACTTTGCGAGTATTGTACAGAGCGTGGTGTTAATCCTCTCATCTAATCGGCCAGGAAAGACTGCACGCCTGTTTCTCAACAAGTCAAACTATACTCCTTTAGGGAATGTGATGAGACGGCACGACACCTTATCTTTCGCTTTGTTAAGCATAACAAAATCCATATCATGTTTTCCTCAACTTGGGTCCAAGGACAAAGCCTACAGGTTTACTCAGCAAAGTATGAGGATTATGCTCACATCTGAGATTTGCACATTTATTTTCACTGTCTTCAAAGTGAAGGTGGGTGCAAACATTCCCACAATGAAACATAATCAGACACTGGATTCAGCTCGTCATTCTAGCTGAATGAGTGTTTTTTTGTGTGTGTGTGTGTGTGTGTGTGTGTGTATGAGTGTGTGCCATCACACGTGCATGTATACACTCGTTGCTAAGCAGACCCAGGTGGTTAGTGTTTTTATTGATATCGCAGGACCTTTACAGACCCACTTTTACTACGACTGTGCAGGTGTGACTGATCATTTAACACATGAAAAGAGACGGCAGTCAAACAAGAACCGTTCTGTGTTGGAAAACATCCTCAGAAGATGACCTGCAGAGCCTCTGTGCCTCCACGTAGTATTCAGATGATGATTGGCATTACGGTTTTAACATTTGTTTGGGTTTGAACAGTTATATAGGTTCTCATCTATGTCGTCTGTTTTGGTTCCTTTCTGTCTTCAAACTGTTTTGTTTTGCAGTGAAAACCCGCAACACTTTGCTTACAGCAAAATCCCAGAAGAAGCGTGAAGGTTGATGTCTGTGTTTTCACAACATAAATGACATAATTGCACAATTTCTGGTTAAAATATCATTCTTGTCTGGGTTAACCAGTTCTCTTCCACCGCACATACAATAGACAACAGCGAATGGCGCCTGCCGCTGGAGCAGGATCGGGTA